AAGATCGCTTAGAGTTTTGTAACAGGTACAAAACTGGCATGAAGCTGATTGGGAACGCGTCATGTTCAGCGATGAGTCAACCTTAAACCAGTTTGCTTGCTATGCTCCTAGAATTTGGCGCCCACCTCTGACGAGATATAACCTCAAGTATGTCTTGCTACCAGTAAAACAACCAAAGAAACTGATGGTGTGGGGAGCTATGTTTATTGGACATGCCTAATGGATCTACTATTAATGGCAATGTTTACTTAAACAGTCTTAAGAAAAAATTACCAAATTTTATGGCAATACATGGTACAAATGTATTTCAGCATGATGGTGCTCCATGTCATGGCACAAAAGCTGTAAAAAATTAGCTCACTAAGTCTGGTTTTGAGATTTTGGGTCCATGGCCGGGCAACTCTCTGGACTTGAACCTGATAGAAAACGCATTACTATGAAAAAGAAAGTTTCAGAGAACAACACCACATCACAAGCTGACTTTCTGGACAAAATTAAGCAAGCCTGGACAACAGAAATTACTACAGATTATTGTCTTTCCCTTATTGATTCAATGCCGCATCGTATTGAAGCTGTGTTAAAAAGTCATAGTGGCCATACTAAATACTGAAAATATTGATAATGCTTTAATATATTGGTGCTATGAACTGTTTTAGTCTGCTAATGTTGGTGCTTTATTTTTAAAACATTTTATTTCAATTTATTGAAGTTTTACTATTGTGACTAATAAAACAATGATTTTTTGCTAATTTCTAGTGCGTTTCCAAACTTTCGTCCAAGACTCTGTGTGTGTGTGTGTGTATTATATATATATATATATATATATATATATATATATATATATATATATATATATATATATATATAGTATATATATATATATATCACGGTAAAAAATTTAGAGCTTTTAAAATGGCTGCGGTTCTTAACTACGGAGTAAATTTTAGATGACAACCATTTAGTTGCATTTTTTGGTGTACTGTTCAGTATTATAAACTTTTTTTTTTTAAATTAATAACCAAGTGTCATTTTTTTAATATTAGGCAATTAAATTAAGTTTAAAAACAAATTAAGATGCACATAGTTGTATTTCTGTGAAAGCTAATTTGCTGTAGGAGAACAAGTTGTTTATTTTTTTGAAATAAATTTTCAGAATTTATAACTGTACGAATTAGAAATTTTTTTCTTTAACTTCTTTGTTGTTCTTTACTTTATAGTTTTATTATTTTTTGGTTCTTGCTTAAATTTAAATTTGGCTGAAAAATGTATTTTTATCGTGTGAGTAGTTAAGTGCTAAGATTTTTTTTTATAATTTTGTTCTGATGCATTTTACACGATC